CTTCCGTGCTCATTACACTTGTTCTAAGAATCCTCTCGCGGTACTCGGAGCTCGAGGACCAGCTCGATCTCGCCATGTCCAGAGCCACCCTCATCAAAATCAACTACGAGCTCACGGAGAAGCTCAGCCGCGAGCTCGAAAACTCCGACGACGAGGACGAGGTCAACCCGCTGCTCGTGGCCTACAGATCGTTCGTCAAGCAGCTGCTCTCTGAACTGGACACGGACTCGGACAACAAACAGGACCTACTGCAGGTCGTCAAGGACCTCGAGGACATGTACAAGCAGTACGCTTCTTCTACTCCGAAGAAGGCGTCGCCCAAGAAGAAGGTCTCGTCGCGATTCCCCACTACTCCGAAAAGAGAGGCTGCAGACCCCTTCGACTACATGGACTCGCCCACACACACGCAGACGGAGTCGTTTTCGTCGATGAGCAACTCGGTAAACTCGCTGTTTTCCTCGGCGTCCAAGGCGTCTTCCACGGTCTCCGACGAGCTGCCTAACCTTCTTCATGCCTTTGATATGGAGTACGTGAAGCAGCAGCGAGCTAGACGAGAGCTAGATGGCGTTGGAACGTCGTCTCCGCAGTCCATGACGTCCTCCATCTCGTCGAAATCGCTCTCCTCCTCGCGATCCTTCTCCAAGCTCAACCCCCAGCACTCTCCCCTGGTCTCGTCTTCTCCCATGCAGTCGACCACGCTGCCCAAGTCGCAGTCTGCGCCCTCGCATCTCGACGTCCAGATGATCAACAACCGCATGATGGTCAAGACGGCGTCGGGCTACCAGGACATGCAGGAGTGGGTCATGAAGCAGAACCAGGAGGCTGCTCTGCGAACGACTCAGCCCACGAAAAGTGCCGCAGACTACATTGTGACCGTCCCCAAGGACTCTGTGCCCAGAACTATGCCCAACCAGGGCTCTTTCCTCTCCAACATCTTTGGCAACCGGCCTCTGGCTCCCCCGGTTCCGCTAGAGAAAAAGGAACCCCAGCCCGTGTCCACGAGCTCGCTGCTGGCCAAGAGTCTGTCTGAACAGAAGGCGTTTGCGCAGTCCGCGTTCGAGACGTCGTACCGCCAGGAGATGAACGATTTTGAGTAGCGAACTGGCGGAGCGAGGACAGTACCTGTAAGTGAACGGGACAGCATTATTTATTAAACATGAGCATTACAATTTGTGGAGTGTTGTAGAAGTGTGTACGTGTAGCTGTATATTCAATACGGAGTAATTAGTCTTAGTCTTGGTATGGTATTGTGCGAGAACGTCTAGAACTGTTCGAGACTCTCAGAAACATACAGAACAAGGTGAGAGAGGGAAGTCGGGTGAACCTGTACAAGCAGGATGGCAGGGCAGCATTATTTATTAAACATGAGCATTACAATTTGTGGAGTGTTGTAGAAGCGCGTACTTGTAGCTGTGTATTCAGTACGGAGTAGTCTTAGTCTTGGTATGGTATGGAATGTCTACAGTACTGTAGAACAGTTGATCCGAGACAGCCAGTACATACAGAAGATGATGAGGTTTGAGGTTGCGTAACATTGACACTTCAAAACTGTCTAATGACGAGATTCATTATGACAGCTTCTCGTTGAGACAGCCAAGAGTTGTACTTGTAGGGGAAGCTCTCGTTGAGTAGGTGCTCTTGGCGTCGATGTTGTACGCCGTTGCTAAGTTGATATCAACATTAGAGGTGTACTTGAAAGGGTAGGGATGAATGGTATGGTAGAAGACTGTAAAGCCGCTGTATATACAAGAGAGCCAGGTTACTGCTACTTGGGGTTTGGATATCTACAAGTGAGGTGTTCACCTGTAAACAATGCTGAGCTACAAAGACCGAGGTGAGAGTTATTATACCAAGAGTCGAGGCAGTGTTGTAGCAGAAGAAGTGAAATATGTTGTAATCAAGTGGTTAATGATCTCTGCTTTTGTAAGCGGGTCTTGTCTACTTGTACAGCCTGCTGGGTTAATAACGCACAAATCAACAGAGCACTACGCAGAACACATTTAGTCAAGAAGACGACGTTGAACAGCTTTGTCGGTCTAAAAGGATTTATTTTGACAGCGTCTTTGTGTCGTATTATATTTTTTTAGTAGTTTCGCGCCCATAAATTCTAGAAACCGAGCTCCACATTTTTACCATACCACAAGTATTGACCAGAGGTGCTCACATTTAAAATTCACAGCTGGTTAATAATTCTGGAGTATAATTCCGTCTAGTGCGTAAGCGAGAAGTACGAGTGGTTTCTGTACCTCTGAAATAAACAGCACAAGCCGTAATTAGTTGCACCGGAAAAACAGCACAAAACCATGTTTTCTTTTTCGCGCTATCTCTGTTGATCTATCGTGTTGATCAGTGTTTACGGTGGATACTTTTGGCGTTGTGGAATTATACAGTAATCATCATGATAAAATAAAATAAAAAAAGACTCAGGTACGAATGCAAGACTCGTTACATCTGTATTAATCAATATAGCCAGATCAACTGCAGAATTAGTGGTAATAAATAAATAGCGCTAGCCCGATCGCCGTTTGATTAGCTGCGCTAGCAAAAGGAAGTGGCAAGATTGTCGCGATTGACGTGATAGTCACGATTAACACCTCATTTACCAAACTAGTGGTGGTGTCAAATTGGAGTGGAGTGGAGTGAGTAGTAAAGGAAGGCGAGGACAGTAGGAGGAAGCTGGAGACAAGCCAGTTACTCCAGAAAAAAGATGGGTCCGTTCGAGACCTCACTTCAAAACCTCTCACTTCCGGGGATTTGTGGCCATCTCAACTCTCATCAAATTCACAGTTCGCGCGTGGATAACCAACCGATCCCACGGAATCTGAGGCTCCAGCATGGTCACAATGTCCGAAATATACGTGGTGAAGCGGTACTTGCGGATGTACTGGTTGATGAGGTCGTCGTAGGTTTCGTCCTGCGTGAAGGCAGGAACGTGAGCGAAAGTGGGCTGTGAGTGGAGCATGTCGACTGGTCTATGGGTTTCAGGGACCTCGAGGATATATATATTGCCCCACAATGAATGGTATGCATCTGCGTGCTTGTGCTGTGCCTGTACGAAGCACCTCAAGTTTATTCCTTGGTTTGTTTTAATTATCCCAAGGCGGACAAGAAGTGGGCGGTATGAAGCGAGAAGGTAAGGAGGGTGCAGAAGACGGTATATATAGACGTGCGGTAAGTGACACAAACAGAAGACGCAGAATATATATAAAAACCCGTCCACGCCCCCAGAAGACCGCTATCTGCTCAACACCACACTGGCTTGTTCCACTTCTCCTCATCATTAGCTCGTGCTATAGCCAGCCCAACCAAACCTAATGCATTCCGGGTGGAGATCAGGAGATGTTTGACAGTGGAAAATTGTTGTCTGTACGATTTGCTCTTTATGCCCTCATTGGTCACGTGGCTCTGTCATTTACCAAATATTTATTTGCCGCTTTGCAAACACATTTTTTTGTTGTTTTGATTCTAGGGACCATTTAAACACGCACCATGTTCATATCCATAATCCGCAACCTGGATGTCTTATTAGTGCAGCTGAAACACATGTGCGCCCTGAGCCGAGATCTCGCGGGATATACTGCTAATCACCCGCCAAATTGCTGCCGAACTGTGTACGAATCCGTCCAAACTCTGCCGAAACGGACGCTTGCTCGCTAAATAAGCATGCAATAGAGCCCTGCTCTCTGCCTTTCCCTGAGACAGGCTGATATGTGCATATACCACCTGAGACGGGCGTATCCGCAGGCGGCTAGGGCTGAATTTTATTTATATTATCGGTTGCTCTTCGGCCTTCGAGTACAAGAAGACATGAGCTGAGTGTGGCTTTGGTATGATTTCTTTTTACTTATTTATTCATCGATCTCGTACGTCAAACCTCCTGCGGCTGAACAAGAATCTCAGCCAAATCCTTCTCCACAGCCTGCTGGTCCTCGCCGTAGTAGTAGTAGTACCACCACGTTATTCTGTTCTCCAGCACCTTGGGATCCACATTGCGAAAACGCATCTGCGCATCACGAACAATTTCAGGCAGATCGTACTGAACCCGGTTGCTGAGAATGAACCGGATCGCTAGCGAGTCCTCTGCCGGTCCCCATGTCATTGTATGTGTGCGGGAAGAGACAGAAGAGCTCAGGTATATATACCGCTAGGAGCGTACATCGCTAGTAATTAATATCGGCGTCAGTCGAATCTCTTATCGCCAACTAGCCATGTGGATAATAAGTGAGCCGGTGGGTACATACTTGTACCTGTTTCACCTCTGAGATGATTGTCAGGGTGATGTCTCACTCTCAGAGTATACGATCTTGAGTAGCTTCCGGAATACGTATATTCATAACTTCTTATATACTGGTCACCAGGAGTACATCCATCTCAATACTCACAGACCGTATAACAAACAACCCCTCACACGACCTCTAAGACCGCGCTACAATAGACTGTACTCGGTAAACTCGGCACGATTTAATATCACCATGTGGATCTGTATGCGACGATGACAGGGGTAACCTTTGAGACACTGTGGACACTTTTGCCGTGTAAGAGGCGCTCGAACAACAAGAACAGTGCTCGGCAGGCACACAGAATACGTCATTTTGCCGCTCGTGCCATATTCGCTCACTTAGTGGCAAATTAGTGACTGTACAGGTACGTGCGGTAGCTTGAGTCTACATTGTTAGTTTACATTGTTCGTTTTGAGAGCCTTCGGAGACTGTCTTCAAGTGCGAAGTATCGTATCTACTTGTACAGAATCTACCAAAAGCTGTAATTCTCATTATTTCACGCAAAAAATCTGTACAACTAGGCACTCTTGTTACAAGTGCTCACACATCATCGTACTCCATAAAACACATGACGATTCTAAAGCAGGTCAGATGACCATAATATAATATCGGCTAAACTAGACCCTGTCTGTACAATAGACGTAAGATGAGCAGAGAGCCGCTTGGATGCCCCGCTAAAAAATAAGACAACTAGCAGGAATTAGCCAAGAAAAAAAAGAACTCCGATACCGGGAATCGAACCCGGGTTCTCCGCGTGAAAGGCGGAAGTGATAACCCCTACACTATATCGGAAAATTCAATTTTTTGGAAAATCTGGGCTACCCAGTCGTTTTCACAGGTCACGTGACCCGCGAAACTTTACTGAAATTTTAATATCAACATGCGTCTTTTACGCTGTAGAATAAAATTGTAGAGTGCAATTGAAAACACAACATGTAGTGGATAACACTGTAGATAGTATAATTGCAGAGAAATCAAAAGTTCTGATACTTGAACGCCATTTGCTGACAATGTTTTGGGTGCCTGGATATAAACTTTGTTCCTGGAATGCCGTACAGTCACAATACAGCGTAATGAGATTAGAAACATGTCTTCATTAGTATTAAAATGTAGCTGAAGATCATACAAGTCTATTCCTGGCATGATAATGTTGTATTTACCTACTTTTCAGCTCATTATGACATGCCATATAATATCCAGAATTTAAGGTGGATCTTGAAAAGTTCAAATTTGCCACATAACAAATCACACGAAACTTTCCCTGCTGAATAAATAGGGTCATTATTAGTATCATTTTGAAGCTTCAGATTTTCTGAGTCTATTAATACCACCTTTAGTCCTATTACACTACATTTGACTCTCTCAGAATGCTCCATAAAGTATCGCAAATTTAAGGTACAATATCAAAACTCTAAAATATTTCAAGATCAACTATAAAAACCTTAATAATCATCCCCAGAAATACAAGCCCTTATAGAACTGTAAGGTAGACGAGCTTTTCCAGGTTGGTGTGTAGACATCCATGAACATTACTGGAGCATGTACATGAAAAAATGAAACGTCAAACTCGGCATTTCCGCTGTAGAGAGAAATTCTACAAAATAATCCTCTGAAACGGCAAAAAATTGCGAATTCTGTGGATCGAACACAGGACCTCCAGATTACTCTGACCGAAGAATGACTTCAGTCTGGCGCTCTCCCAACTGAGCTAAATCCGCGGAAAATTTACTTCAAAAATGATCCTGTTTGTCAGTATCTGAAAAATGTGAAAATTCGGCCAAAAATGGGATTTTCGACGTGAAACTACAATAGGAACAATTATTGGGTGTCCTTTTACCCTATTTTGAACTTTTCTAGTTGTTTAGTGCTCAGTATCTTTGTTTTATTGGTTGCTAAATTCTCCAAAAATGGTCAGGGATGGTCACTGTAGGCGCTGTTTAAAAGAGATTTTGGTAGGTAGAGTACATATTCTACTTTATATAGCCCTTCCAGAACAATAAAAAGACCTCTCACCAGTTTTGGTGTCTCTGATCCAATTTTGGGCAGCTCTATAATGCTACCGGTCGTAGGCACGGAACATCCTGTCTAAGAAATTTGAAGAAAAGAGAAACAGGAGGGTTTTAAAATGTTAGTTATATTGCTGAAAAGGCAATATTCCACAGGATCATGTCTTGATAGCCATTGCACGTGCTAGGATACATGTCTGTTATCGTATCTAAGTCTGCTCAAAACCAGGTGTTTTCTCGAGCTCTCATTATGTTAAACGAAAGAGAATAGCCAAATACTCATTGCCCACTTCCTATTCAACTTCTGCTTAATACTGAACTCCTACTTTATGCTGAACTTGTACTTATGCCAAACTACATACTCTATGGTGGTTCCTACTTTATGCTAACCAGATAATCTATGCTGAGCTTGATATTGTATGCGTAACTGGATAGTTTATGCTGAACCTGTAGTTTGCTGGTAGTTTCTCTTTATGAGGCTTCTACTTTATGAGGACCCTACTCTATGCTGGAGTCGTAGTCTATGCTGAACTTCTATTTTATGCTGATTCCTACTTTATGTTAACTCCTACTTTATGCCAGCCAGGTATTCTATGCCAACCAGCTAATATATGCTACGATACCCTATGCCAACCAGATAATCTATGCTAAACTTCTACTTTATGCGGGAGCCCTAGTTTATGCCAGAACCAGGTACTCTATGCTACAAGTAAGCCAGGTAGTTTATGCTGTAGTCCTACTTTATGGTACTGTACAGTACTTTAAATACTCAAGATGTATCAGCTAATGCACTCTGCTACTATCAGCATCTCCTCGTTACTCAGCGACTGCCTTTGATGCCATTACTGTCCTCGTAAACCGATGAGACACATTACACTTGCCCCTACTTGAATGACTTCTACAAACCGATCTCTACTTCTACACGATCTTCTTGTTAGACAAGCCTACTTTTTGTACTCGTACCACGCACCATATTCCTCCACCTACTTCCGCTGTCTAAAGCATGCTGCCTACACACCCATTTATCAGCTAATACCAGTATACTACCGGTACACTTCTTTTTTTATAATGAAGCAATACTGGCACGTCATGTACGCCATCTAGAAACTACTCTCCACATCATGGTCTTCTCGTAAAACAACAAGCATCTACATTGCTTTGCACAGTACAAGCACACATCTCCTATCAAATACATTACTCATACCGCTGGACGATGGCCGCGCCGATAACCTGGGCGTCCTTGAGCGTCAGGCTCTTGTCTCGCAGCTCCTTGTTGGGGAAAGTCGTCTGCAGCACGTAGGCCCGTCCGGAGGGGTTGTGTTCGTCGACAAAGTCGTAGAGCGCCTGGACGGTGAGGTCGGGCGAGAAGGAGGGCGTGAGACGCGTTCCGTCGCCGAGTCTGATTTGAATTCGGCTTCCTCCGGCTCCAGAGGCAGAGTTGGAAGGACCTGAAGCAGAAGACGAAGCAACAGGAGTAGAAACGGCAGGAGTGGAGACCGCAGGAGAATCTCCGGGGACAGGAGATCCGAGTCGGTTGCCGGATCCGCCATAAACAGGCTTCTTCTCCACGTAGGCCTCCTCGCTTCTGTCGGTGACATTAATGTCCACCGCCTGATTATGCTGCACGTCCAGCAGCGCCAGAGGGGCTCTTCCCTGGTTCAAAGTCTCCAGGTACCGCTGATTTCGCGGGTCGTCGTACCGGTACAGCGGCCCGTCTTCCACGGTGAAGCCGTTCTGCCAGAAGGTGATGGATCGCGACACTTTAGGGAGAGAAGTAGGCACAGCAGACTCCACAGGGCGGCTCTGGACCTCATCTGAGCCCAGAGTGAAACCCGTTCCGTGGAACGAGCCGACTTCTTCGTCCTCAGACTCGTCGTCGTCGCCTCTAGGTCGTGCAGGGTTGGCTTCGGCTCTGCGGATGATGTCGTTGACGAGAGGATTGCCCTGGTTGCCCTGGCCCGGTCGGTTGGGGTTCTGGACTGCCAGAGCGGACTTTTCGCCGCCGGTGAACAGATCCTGGCGTTTGGGAGGCGCATTGTCGCGCGAGAGGTCTCCCAGTGTTCGCACTCCAGCCACTCCTCTTCTAGGAGGATTAGAGGTAGAAGGAGTAGGACCAGGGCCAGGAGTAGAACCTGAACCAGAAGCTGAGGTCGCTCCGGAACCACCAACAGGAGTACTGGAACCGGTTCCATCACCAAGTCTGTATCCCGAAGGTTGCTGGTTGGTCGTGTCTAGAATCGGCTCAGGCTGATCATCCCTGCCTGCCAAACCGCTCAAAAAGCCCTGAATGCCGGCCGCAATGCCGCTCGGAGCGATTCCGGACGGGTTCGCGTATGCGTCCGAGTCGTCCTCCACGTCCTCGGCCTCGTCGTCTTCTTCTTCTTCTTCCACGTCGTTCGAAGACAGAAAAAGATCGACGGCCTGGGGAACGTCCCAGTCGGTGTGCAGAAGACAGTCGTGGGCGTCTTCGGGCGACGACTGCGTGATGCCGACAAACTGCGCAATCCGCTCCGTTTTCTCTTCTTCCGATACCATGGTGGCAATGTTTAGGTTTGGTTGTGGTGGTGGTGGTGTAAGTAAGTGTAGATGATGCAGTGGTGATGTAGGTGTGGTGGTGGTAGGTCACGTGAGGTCACGTGAATTACGTGTGTTTACGGAAGTTGAGGATAATGGCGTGTGAAGTGGGGTCCATGGATCGACCAATTGACTGCGGAGATTGGTCAATTGATTGCTATGACGAGTGCAGGGGTGTTCTAGAAGTTTACTTGGGGATTAGTTGTGAGGGGGTTTTACTGGGGGTAGGTAAATGGGGTTGCGGAGGTGCTGGAGGCGAGAAAGTGGTGTCAATGGAGAGCTCATCGTGGTAATAGTGTAATTATGTGCTAACATCACATAGTCGTCTACTCGTATCCGGTCCTAGAAACACCCTTCCGTTCTTCCGGGGATAGAGTTTGTTGAGCTGTTAGTTGACATGCATAGAGGCGATGTGGCAACAGTGGAGCATAGTATTGACCATTACTACACGTTAAATGGGTGTGATCATGGTTAATACTTATTAAACCGGCAGAAACTTGTCATATTGCTGTAACCACAAAAATACAGAGGAGATCCGCTAATGCTATCGTGATAACAGCTAATTGACTATAATACGCGTTTGATAGTTCTGGATGAAAACCGTTGTGTGGCAAAGTAGTGCTTTTGCCATAATTGTTGGCCATTGATTCATGTTGTCGTCTTATATTTATGGCCAATACTTACGGATTTCAAAATTTGCCACCTACAATAGAAAACATCTAGAAACTATTGTTGCTCTAAGGATAATATTTATTTTCCAGATAGTCTTGCCATAGTATTTTCAGAACTAATTGACTTGATAACTGCGTCGAATGTTGATGTGGAACTGTTCCGACAAGTTTATCATAATTATTGGCCAATGTAGTATTCATTTTATATGCATCAATGGCTAATAGTTATGGAATATGTGGAAACTCAGGGCAGACTATTCCAAAGACATTTTAGTGAAATTGTTGATGTAGTGGAGAAGTCAGCTGTATGGGTACGTGATTCAACCATGCAATTGATTCTCTGGATAACCCACTCCATCTACTTCTCCAACAAGAACTAGAAGAGTTAAATCGTAATTATTGACCATGACAACTATAATATTAAGTTATAAAATGGCTAATACTTATGGATTGACACAGCAAAACAGGAGTTCATTGCACATCCATTAACTACTAATTGAAGCCAAATGAGATAACTGATATGTTACTATAGATTTCTATA